ATATTTATTTGTCTAATGTAGCTTGCATCATCTGTTTGTTCTGTAAAACAAAAAATTGCTAAAGGATTCCCTTGAACAAAATCCCAGATCTATAACTACTATACTAAAATTCATTGAAGACATATATTGAAAGTGCTTTTCAGAACTTGCTATTTATTGCCTATAACTATGTAAGAAAATTGTAAAATCCATGTTTAAAGCAGCCCAAAGTTACAAACAAAATGATATGAAATTTATACCTCTAGAACCTGTAAACGGTGCATAATGCATATATATACTATATGCATGAATGTTCGAAAACGTTTGTCAACTGCAATATATATATACTATATATTGCAGTTGACAAACGTTTTCGAACATTCATGCTGTTCTTCAGGTCAACTGGTTAAGGAATTTCACTGGATGGAGTGTATGTTATTCTGTGGGATCAGGTGTCATTCCGGCAAAGTTGGTCTTCCCTCGCATGCATGGTCATGCATCGGGGGAGGTAGCTGCAGTTCAGCATCTAGCAGGGACTGCCAGGCCAGGGATAGAGTCAGCTCCTCCTTCTGGTTGACACACGTGGTCACTCGGCCAGTGTTGTATATAGCTACGGCCTCAAGCCACCTGAGATGTTCCTGGTGGGGTGTGTTGATGATGACTGCGGCTTTCTTGAATTGCGGCTCGACTTCGGAGTCTGATGCATATGTGGCTAGAGCAGTGGTGAGCTGCCCATGCCAGATATGACATGAAATTTTATGCATTTCTTAATGTAATTATTTTGATTTTTCCATATACAGTTAAATGTGTAAAATTTTGATAAGATGCAGTTGAAGACTTCTTAAGCAAGTCCATTGTTTGGTTGTGGACAAGGATTTCTATCTACTTTAACAGGAAATTTTCTTAAATCAGAACATTTTTATATGATAAAAAAATTAAGACATTTGTAATATGGAAAAAATTGGGACTTTTGAAATTAAACTTCTAATGTAAAACTTCTTAACTGAGTTCTACTGAATATATTTTTTATTTTATAAAGGTCTGCAATTAGAAGTGAAGAGAGAAGATAGTGTGTTTTAATTTATAATAATTTTTAATTTGAGTTGATTAACATTTTATTTTTATATAAAATGCATAGATATAATGATAAAAAATGTCTTTTACATAATAAAAGTATTAAATACACATGTACACAAATTCTTCAGTATGCTATTCCTATAATTCTCTATAAACTGTATGTATTCTTTATTTTAAACTTTATAGTGAATTACAGTAATTCTTTGTAACAAATATGAAATCTATAATAACAAAATGAAACTGATCTCAAGTTTTATCATTTCTCTGAGAAATATGATAAGATTATAAGTACTTTATGAAAGTAAATATTACATTTTTAAATGAATTTATCATTTTGTTGATATGAACTACATGTTACACATGGGAATTATAGCAGATGACCTAAAATGTATATTCATTCATTAGCTATATAAATATTAAAATATCATTAAAATATTTTTAATAAGTTGTTACTGTTACTGTTAAAATTAAATATAATTCATAAAAAAGTGGTTAAATAAAATGAATATAATTAACAAAATAAGAGAATCCAAAATTATAAACATATCATTCAATTTATTTATATAAATGCTTTAAATTCTATTCCATGCAAATCTTGAGAACAATTAGTATTAAGTTATATATATATATATAAATAATGAATACTCATTATTTATTGAGGAACTGAAAGTATTATTATTGCATATTATCATAGATATTATTTATTTATTTAATATTGATGTGTAAATGTATTTAATCTATTTGTTTTTCTTTCATTTTCTTATGTATCAATGAATTTTTATCATTCAACTTAATGTAAATATATAAAACCTGCAGTTGTACAGTTGGAAATACTGAAATATTTTAGTGATATCCAGGTGAGCAGCATATGTTTAACAGATATGTAGGTGGCTAAAATTTTACATAAATAATTGCATCATTGGATGAAATATAATTTAATAAATTTTAGATAGTTATACTGTAAAAAAAATTAAATATTTATTGTAAAAATAAAGGTTTAATTCGTTTACCTGGAGAAGGTATAAGTTATAATTATATAATATCTGGTTGTCCAAAGTGTTTATATATTTGGGATATTCTATAAGACTTGGTACCATTTTGTAAGTGTAGAAGAGAAAATACATCTGTTTTTAAGAAAACTAAAAGTTTTGATAAAAGGGAAATGTTTTCAGAGGTTTATTTGAACTAACATAAGTTCACATCTTTAAAATCAAATGTAGGATCATATGATGTAACCTGCATTTGTAATTCAAGGAGTGTACTTTGATATTGTTCTGTTGAAGCTAAACTTCAATGAATTTGTCAGTATACATCTATTTCAAAACATTGTATCATGTGGCTATTTCTAGTAATCAAATTAACAAATGGAAACAAGTTTAACTTATTCCAATACAATTTAATAGTAATATTTATTGTTTTCTATGAAACTCTCTTCAAATTGTTTAGTTTATTAATTAAGGTTGAATTGTGTTTTATGCAAAATATCTAAGATTTAAGAGCTGTTAATATCTCTACATTTCCATCAAGTTTTATTCTTAAGTGAGAAATTTTCCAGCATTTTGCATTTATAATGCAGAGTTCTTTAGTGTCTTCTGTTTAGTTATTTTAGACATCATAACATTTAAACAAAATGATTTTAAATAATTTATGAATGATCTTTCCTCATAATGCTAATAGATAAGTTGTTATAACAAGATAAATCATTAAAGTCACTTTTTAAATATTTAATAATTTGATGCTATTTTTGTCTAGCAAAATTCTCTCTTAATGATTTAATTTATCAATTACATTTTCTGAAAATAGCAATAAAAACTTACAGTTTTTGTAGAACCATAGCAAAAATCTATAAAAATACTAGATTTTGTATAATTTTGTTATTTTAAAATCAAACTTCTTTATTCTGTATTTATTAAGCTAACAAGCTTGATAAATAAAGAATAAATTTGAAGCTTGATGAGATTGAAAGGCATTACTGATATGATAGTTTTCATTCTGTAATTTGTACTTGGGAAATTGCTTAATATGAAGAAAATTTCAAATTTTGAAACTGAAAATTTAAGTCCCTGCATGGTGAGCAGGTTTATGTCATATTTCTATACAATAACTAGGAGCTGAAGGTTTGAGTCCCACTCTGGGTGATCTTTTCTTCCAGAATATTCTAAACTTAATTTATTTATAATTATTATATTTAACAGCCTGGTGGCCTGCCTTTGCCAAATTGTTTTGTAATTATTTAGTCACAATAGTGCAATAAAGGAATCTGGCTATTTGTTTGATATATAATTGATGGTGATCATGCAGACAAAATTAAAAATAATTCTATTTGATCTTTTCCTATAGAATAAACATATACAGATGCTTTTACATGCTACTTCTAGCATTGATGTTTAAAACTACATTAGATAAATGGAAGAACAAACAATTTTGGCCACTTATAGAATAACAGATATAGTAGCAATGTAAATGTGTGTGCCATCACAGTGATCTTGAGTTTTATTAGAATAAATCTTTTGTTGTATATTTTAGGAAAAAAAATCTAACATACGAAGCAACCAAAACCTTAAATATATTAATAATAAAGAAGAATGGTGTAAGAAGAATGATTACCAGTAATTTCTAGGCCAACTTTACCAGTAATTTCTAGGCCAACTTCTCTATATTGATCAGTTTTCTTATAGCTTGAAAATAACTAGATTCATTACTGTTCAGATCTTTTATATATATATAACTTTTTATCCAATATTATTTACAAAATCTACTTTTTTTATTCATGGAAAACTGATTGAACTATGTTTTATAATAGATTAGTAAGTTATGTAGAAAATTAAAGATGATAAAAAAATATTTTGTAATGATGATAATTTATAATACAGTAAGACCTCACTTAACATGGGAATGCATTCCTAGAAGACAAAGCACTAAACGAAACAGCATTAAATGAGATCATTTTAACATAAATAGTAAATAGAGAAAGGGAAACATGCGACCAAAAATAAACAGATTTTACTTTAATTTTCAGTTATTTTTATATTAATTTGCATAATAATATGTGTTAAATAACATAAACATATGCACACAGAATGTAAAGTTCATTTTTTGTGAAGGTCCTGGCTTTTCTGAAATTCTTGTTTTTTGCGATAAAGTTGTGTAGTTTCATTTGTCGCTTTTTTTTCTTTCCTTAAGCAAATGGCGTTAGCAGGAGATTGCATCCAAAATGCCTCCTCTTGCTTTTGCACTCCTTTCAAAATCTGGATCTTTTGCTACAATTTGTTTATGGGTTCAGCCAGGCCCTCAATGGGGCAGCCAGGTGGTTGAGGGATGGGGCCCACCAACATATCCAAACAGACCACCCTCCGAAAAATTCCTGGCGATTTCTTGACATGTCTGAAGAAATCTTGGGTTCCCCAGAGTGGTAGGCTGCCACCTTGACCCCTTGGCCATCCGGCCATCCTCCTAGTCCTGCTGTATCAATTAGGTTGACAATTTGGTCAACCTGATGATACAGCAATAGGCTTTTCTCGTTGAGAATTCTTGGATACCTTCAGTCATAACTTATTCCACACTTTGTTCGTGCATTTATTAGTTAATTCTTGCCAAGTGAAATCGATATTTCCTACAGCATCCATGATGTTATATTTTTTCCAAAATTGCATGAAACAAACATAGATTTAAGGTAAGTAAAGTGCTATAATTTGCCACCTTTTGCTGATTGGGTCATGTTTGTAAATAATAATATTATATATGAATCAATGAAATGCCATGATAATTTGAATCAGCGTAAATTTTGAGCTTTTTTTTAGGCTTCGAACAGACCATGTTATATGAATCAGTGTTAATTGAGGCAGTGTTAAGCGGGGTCTTACTGTATATACAATTTTTTTCAACACATCATAAATAAAAATTAATATTATTATATTAAATTAATTTTCATTTATTTTTTATAGGTGTTTATCTTGTTGGAAATATTGGCCAGGAAGAAGGTGATTTTTGGATGCCCTTAATTGGAGCATATTTGACATATCCACTTTATTTTTGGAAGAAATCATCAGTATTTTGGACATCGGTACTATCTTGTGCTGCTTTTAATCGATATGCTAAAAAGTGGCGGCGATCTCCACGTCGGCAGCGTTCCATTTTTTATCGATTATTTATATTTTTACTTTGCATTTTGATATATGCATCGTTATGGTGTTCTTGGTTATATTTTAATTGTAGTTTTACAGATAAAGAAGGCCAAGAAATATATTGTAGGGAAGCAATAAAAAATTTCTTGACAAGTCCATTATGGAATGAATTTAAAAAAGTTATGAAAGATGTTTATAATTTTGCTCAACATCATGGATGGTGGGAAATATGGCATCAGTTAATACATGCATTGGATCCCCTTGGAGAAAAGAATGCTTTACAGGTAATTTTTAATAATATAATGGTAAAAAATGTAGTTCTTAATGAGGCAGTTGAGACCTTATTAGAGTTGTAGACCATGCCATAGGAGTAAAAAAGTCAAAAGAATCAATGGTCTACTTGTGATTCTTTGCAAGATATAGCCCCCAAAATCAGCCTAACGTAGGTTAAATGGAATGTGATGTGTGACTCTAATCGTGCGCCAGAAGTAGTTGGTGCAATCCAGTTTCTTGTGTTTTATGAGCTCTTAACTTCCCCTAGTAAAGTGGAAAACAATTGATTTTTAGCATTTTTTTGAGAAATAATTCAGATTTTTTTCACTTTTTAATTTTATCTCATGTTTTGAGGGTTTTCAAAATTCTAGATAGGATGGAGGCTATATCTTATGAAGGATTACATGTAAAATATCAGTTCCTTTGACTTTTTTACTCTGATGGGCATGGTCTATAGCTCTGATAAAGTCCTGAAAACAAATTGGAACATCAAGGTGACCAATAAAAAACATCTTGGACATTATCAACAATTTTTTTATATTTAATATTAAATATATTTATTGAATATTTATTTTAAAAAGGATAAATATTGATTGTTTAACAAGATGGTATATCACAGTATCCATGACAACAGATACAAAACACTAAATGTATTTAACAATGATTTTGATATTTAACATTCATTTGTTAAATGCTATATTTACAACTACAAAAATAATATACTTTTAATTCTTCAAATGATTATGTATTAAATTACAATGGTTTGGTTATTTATATATAAAAGCATCTGTAGTATATGAAGGATTAATATTCAGTTCAAATTCACTCAACCCATACTCAAAGATGAAGAAAAAATCTTTACTGGCAATAGCATTATAATGCTGATTATAATCAAAATTCATATGTAAAAATATCTTAAAATTTAATACTTAAAACGTTAATACTTTAAAATATTAAAATACTTTAGTTTTTATAATCAATTACAAGAATTTTGGCATTAATAATAAATAAATTAGACTTTTCATATGGTAAAATCAATGTTAAAAACATTATAAATGTTGATTTAAAATATAAAAACAATTCCTTAAAAAAACAAAATCAAATTAAAAATTCATAAAGCTAGAGAAATTCTATAAATGAACAAACTAAGAAGATACTTTAAATTCTTGGAACATTCTCTGGTTTTGTCGTCATATATAATTTTAAACATTTAAATTAGTACATTGTAATAACAATAGCAGATTAAAAAGAAAGAAATACAAACTGGAAAAATGTAAATATTAATCAAATTGGTAACCTTTGCTTTCATTCAGTATTATTTTAAAAATGACAAATGTTTTTGAACAGCTTGACTGTCCTGCTTCAGATCAGTTACACTTGTTCCAATTAGAATGCTTGTTCTATAACAGGGATGGGCAACCTGCAGCCCTCAGGCAACATGTGGCTTGCATTAATACTTTTTGCAGCCTGCATCACATAAAATATGAATAAATATATCAATTTCCCAGCTTAAGAAAGTATGCATCAAAAATTCAAACAATATTTTATACAACTTATGTATGTGAATAGTTTATCCCACAATGAATTTAGTAAAAATTAAAACAAGAAACTGGCTAACAGACTCACATCAAAACTAATTTAAAACTAGCAATGATTAATATTTAACCAAATATTTCCAATATATTATATTTACATCAGTTCCAGAAGCTAAATTAAGTATATTTATGCTAATTTATAATTATACATGAATAAATAATTGTGATTTACCAGCATTTTTATCCTCTCTTCTCTTGTATGTGGCTCACGTCAGTTCAAAAGTTTTGAAATGCAGCCCTTACATAGAAAAAGGTTGCCTATCCCTGTTCTATAGCATTCTACATTCATACTGAATTCAAATTTCAATTCTTTTCAAAATTTATGAAATTTAAATTTACTGGATTAAACTTTACAACTAATTCTTTATAATTTTATAATAATATATTAGATTACTTTAATAACTCAATTAAACTATGGTGTGTTAATACATAAAATAATGGGATTTCAAACTATCTGAGTTTGAATTAACAAGGATTTCTCGTATTGGGGTTACTGAATATTTATTGCTTAAATTACCTTGCTTAAATTAATAAATTGCCTACTCCTGGTAAAGAGTAGGCAATTTATTAAATGTGAAGCAAATATAAACCTGTAAGACTTACTTTTGATAGTAACTCAAAATATGAAGCTTGTGTGTAAATCAAATATTCAGCTAAAGAATGAAACCAAGACCTACATGATATGATATTGTTGATGCTCTAATTACCTTAACCAGTTAAATTATATTTATTTATTTCCAAAACAAAAACAATGTCATTTGGCATTGTTTTGTGTTTTGGCAAATAAATAAATATAAATTAACTGGTTACGTAACAATATGCCATAAAATACAATGAAAAAACAATTGTACAAAATTACATGTACAATTACAAAGGATATATAATAAAGAAACAATAAAAATGAACATAGTATAATGCCAGTTTAACATTTATTCTAGTGCAAAAGAGATCTTCCAGCATTGCATAATTATAAGCATAGCCTTTGGGTCATTAGTTCCACTACAGTGTTTGTGGCAAAATAAATGAATTCATTCACAAAATGGAACATGTTTAAATTGTATAATAGTTCTACAGCATTATGTAAATTTTACTTATTTCTCCTAGTGAAAGGGAATTTTTTTTAGGAAGATTGAACATAGCATATAAAGAATCTTTGACTGTAAAGGATAAGAATCAACAATGCATAAATTAAAACAAAAACAGTTAAGCTTATTTTGCTATAGTACATGTTTGAAAAGTCTTAGCTTCACTTTGAAGCTATGTTTTAGCAGATGTAGCTTCAAAGTAATGGCATTGGTATAGTACAGTGGTGCCTCGTACTTAGAATTTAATTCATTCCAGGAGGTTGTTCGAAGTCTGAATCAACTTTTCATATTAGAAATAATGGAAAGTGAATTAATTCATTCCTAGATCCTAAACAATACCCAATTTGATAAACTTAAAACAGCAAACACACATAATTTAAAAATAACACAATTAAATGCTCTAATAATAAATTAAAACATGATAGCAATAAATAAATAAATAAATAAAACACGTAAATACTATATAATGAAACAAAATTGCATTTATTGGTCACACACTGTGGACTTTTGCATCTTCGTAGATGTGTGATTTTAATTATAACAGTTATGAAATTTACCATATAGATTATGTGAGATTTTATTCTTTGTTCAGAATTTTACTTTAAACTGTTTACTTCACATATTGTTTGAATAAAATCAAGTTGTAATATCTTCACTTAAAAAGCATATTGCGCATATTATGCTTTATGAGTTTCAAAAAGGATGTAATGCTGTATAAATAGTAAAAACAATTGTAATGTGTTTGGGGAAGATACTCCTAAACCTCAAACATGTCAAATGTGGTTTAAAACGTTCCATTCAGGAAATTTTGAATAAAGGATACAAAACCTACAGGGTGCTCAAAAGCTGTCAACAAAGAAAACTTGCAGAAAAAATTGTTAAAAAATTAACAAATAACACACAATACAATATATAACTAAACATACTAAACATAAAGTGAAAAAAGCATTGAAAACATACGAGTGTAATGCAAGAGTGATAGTGAGAGTTGACTGGGACATATAACATATAGATTGTGTTTATGATTCAAACACATTTTTTCACTGTGTTCACAATTCAAACTTTGAGGTGAATTTTTTTTGAGTTTTGTGTTTGAACACTGAAGCATTCAAAGTACGAAATACTGTACCACTGCATATCTTTATTTTATCCATATTCATAATATAATGTATACAAAGAATAAATTTTTTTATAAATACTAAACAGTCTTTAAAGAAAAGGTAATTCTTTTCAGTAGAAAACTTTTTAATCATCGTCATTAGGTTAATTTTTTATTGAATTTTTTTAGTGCTTGTTCATGATTCAGGTTTGTGCAGAACTGATTAGCTCTTCCATTTGATATATATCATTTTGCAATATTATTTAAAAATATACATGCATTATTTTAATTATATCTTGAATAAAAAAAAATTTGGCATGTGAAAGTTGCATTTATTTTTTTATATTCTGTATGTAATATATTTAATTTATACATATTATAAATATTTATTCTAATAAAATAATGAAATTCTTAATGTTGCAGGTTTTAAATTTAACACGAAATGCAACACAAGAAGAAATTTCTGCTCAGTATCGAAAACTTTCGCGTCAGTGGCATCCAGACAGACACAAAGATCCCGAGGAGAAACAGAATGCCCAAGAAAAATTCATTGAAATTCAACAAGCTTACGAAGTTCTTTCAGATATCAAATCCAGAAGAGTGAGGAAAAATAAAAAAGCTCAATCTACTAGTTCATCTGAATTATAAAAGAAAATATATATATTTAAAAATATATTTTTTTATAAGAAAAATTGGAAAAGTGTTTTATTATTAAACAAAATTTTAATTATTATTAAAATTTATTAAACATATACAGACACTTCTCCTATTATAATCAGTTAATATACAGCTATATAAATTTATAATTAATATCCTATAACTTAATACAATATTTTTGAATAGAAAAATATATTTTTATGCCACTATTATAAAGAATATTGCACAAGAGCTAGACTCCAAAATTTTTATATTAGATTATAAAAAATAGAAACAATATATTGTTAATTGGCAGTTTAAATCTTCCTACTTAAAGGGAAATCATATTGATATATTTCCAAGTTTTTGATAAACTTCAGATGTTTAACTGAACTTGGTTATAAATAAGGAGTATCTGTATATAAATTTTAAGCACATTTTAATTTATAAACATTGTTATTTATTTTTGCACATTTCTAGAGAAGCGCACTAGATTTTTAATTTTCATAAACATTTCAGATTTATATAAAATTAATTTATTTCTTTACTGTATTGTATTGCTGGAATAATTATATTTACTTTATTGAATATGTAAGATTTTTCCGAATGATTTTATCATAAAAAAAATAATAAAATAAATCAAATATGACTTCTAAAAATTCTTATAAAAATATCCTCTTACAAACTATTTTTATAAGAATTTTAATTGTATAAAAATTTTCATTAGAGCCATACTGCTGTTCTAATACATATACAATATATTGTGTTTGATAAATAGTATCTTTTCTTTTTCTAAATTTGATAAATGTTCTGTTCAAAAAATGGTTACAGAATATTGGGATTTATGATAAAGAATATTATGAAGTAATTGGAAGATTATCAGAGTGGAGAGAATTATAAGGAAATAGAAATAAAACATATTTTCAGTAGATATTAAAACATTTTGATAAACATTGGTAACTTTTTGCACATGGATATGTATTTGGTGTTTTATGTTTTAGTTCCTACAAACCTTTTGAAATGCAAAATATGAAAGTTATAATGAAGTATATTTAAAGTTTATAATGGAGTTATATATAGAGTTATAATGCACATGTTTTTATTAACATTTAATATTCATTTTGATTGTTCATATTCCATTTTATTTACATAAATATTTAATGTTAAAGAAATTACTTGTATTTTATTTGATAATTAACATAATGTACTTTAAAAAAAAAATTATTGTGTTTAAGGTAAATTTAAACATATTTTGTTTTTTTTTTTTTTTCAAAAATTGAAGTAATCTTCAATTTTTCAAATTTCAACAAACACAACCAATAACTTTCCAAAACTGGTATATATTAATTTAAACATATATAAGACATCTACACCAGATACCTCAAATTACTAACTTATTAACATTTTCATCTGTATATAACAGACATCTTTAGGTAAATATAATGTAGAACAAAACATACAAATTAAAATCAAACAAGATATGTTAGGTATGAAAGAATTTTCCATGAACATGGTTATATAGGAAAGAACTAAGGGAATTGAATTCATGGTTATAGCTCTGTATAGTTTCAATCAAATGTTAAATGAATATTCAACATCAAATATACTGAATATTAGTATAAAATACATTTAATATTAAAAACTATTCCTATGACATCTGTAACAACATTCATTTCAATCCTAATTCATTCAAGTTTAAATTTGCTCAAATTTAAGTGTGAGGTATCGATTAGAAGAGCAGTATATCTTGGACATCAATTGTCTTGAACATTATTTCACTAATATTATATAATAAAATACTAACATTCACTATGCAATCAATGAACATTGTTATTTGCCAGCAATAGCAAAATATATTCCATATACTCTTTGATGTTTTTATTATAATTGCCTGTTAAACATGAGTATTGATCTTTATTAAATCTACTTTTAACATTATTTTAGAAGTAAGATATTCAGTTTAAAATTGTAATTGTTAAAATATTTTCAAAGATATGCAGCATATGAAATAAAAGTATGTATATACATGCTTTATAATTGTTTCATAAACACAAATTAGAATATATATCAAAATTTTATCAATTCTGATTATATTAAAGACACCAGAATGTTGAAGAGTTAAATATTGCAATATTTCTTAATTGTAAATACATTACGAATTTGAAATGTTAAACATGGGATTTCAACTTTTTTAAAATTCTATTTTCTTAATTTCTCTCAAGATTTTATACATTAAATAAATGGTAAAATTAACTTAAGTATATGAAGTAAAAATGAGGGGATTTGAAATTAATAACTAAGTGAAAACACATAGACTTCTTAACAAGTCATCCATCATAACTCTTAAATGTTGTACATTATTGATATATACTTATGATGATGATTTTATCATCAGTAAATCTGAATTTTATATCATATTATTTAATTTATATCATAAAGAAACTAATTTGTTTTGTTGACTGTGCAAACATTTTGTTTATAGTAGATTAAATTCAAATTTAAATAAACAACAAAATAAATCTGTGATTCTTTTTTGTCACTTTATAAGAATAGCAATTAAAACTTAGAACTTTTAAAATAATTTTAATGTTTATAACATGTGATATATAACAATATCTTGTTTTTAGACAATATGTAATAAAATTTATTAATTCAGTTGTTTGTTTTTCATTTTAAACTAAAGAATTAATGATTTTTCACTGAAATATCTCTTGTTTCTACAGTTTAAAATTCTTCAAGTCTACATCAAGCTATATTATCTTGCAATGTGGAAATTCATTGGAATTATTCAATTTCATCAGCATCAATGTGGATTATCCTATTAAAAACATAAATGATAATCAGTTTCATAAAACATTTATATAGTTGAAAGTCCCTTTAATTTTAAATTTAAAAATATTCAAGATATAGGAAAAAAACAAGTTTTTTTAGAGTAACATAAATGCTTCAGTTTAACTCTTTGCTCTGGGAGGAAAGCCCTCTTTTTAATTCTGATTGTTGTTTGATCAGGCCCCACAAGAGAAGCTGGCTTCTGAGATACTTTACCTGATAAATCTGGATCATTACAGCCATAAAAATTTCTGAAGATGTGATTGTGATTTTTTCATTGGTAGGCATACATCTTTATACAGTATTCTTCAACCTTTTTCTAATAGTGGCACTCCGACGTTTCTTTTGGCACCGATACTTTATTATGGTTTTGTTTTTGTATTTTTAGCAATGAAAATAGAAATGTAGTCCAGGTAAGAAATGTTATGATTCTGCTCAATACTATATTTTGCGGCACCCCCAAAATGTCATTGCGGTACCCTAATGTGCCATAGTATCCCTGTCGAAAACCACTGTTCTTATTTCATCACTTATCCAGCTATCATTCTCTTCAGTTCAGTTTGTTATTCCTGAATCCAGGCTTGAGCCTTGAATGACAAACTGTGCCTTTTACCACAATTGGTAAAAGGCACAGTTTGTCACAATATTGGGCAGTCACAATAAGTTCTTTTAATGAATGTTTGCTTCAAATAAAATTTGTGTAGAGAGAACTCAAATGCAAGAACTATTTTATATTAAATACATTTGTAAAATGTTTCCACCAAATGATTAACTGAGCTCTTTTTGTTGTGAGTTTGTTTTATTTGCATACATCAGTGTGACAAATGGGTGATCTGCCGGAAGGGGAATACCTCCCAGGAGAGTTTATGGGAAACTGGCTCCTATTTAGGTGTTACTAATGTGATAAAACCCGCAAACTCCATGACCAGTCCATTGTCAAGGTACAACCAATGACCAACTACCAGTGTTCAATGGTTTTATCCACTCGGCCACTGGTGGGCCTTTCCCTTATGAGAATTTGTCATCCCTAATTGTAATCATAATTATTTTCATTTTGTCTAGTTTGCTTTCTTCATTTTTGTGTTTGTGAGGGGGCCGAGAGGGGAGAGAATTTCATAAACGAAAATAACGATTATATGAGATATATCGTTATCGTATCTATTTGCCATCTGGACTGTGGAGCGGTAACAATCAAGGACATGGGAGTCAGAGATCCATGCCTCGTTTACAAACAACATATCCCGTTTATTAGACAGCTAACTTACAAAAAGTTCTATAGTCACGAACGGTTGAAGTCCTTGTAAACTTCGGCGCTTAGTCTTCAAAGAAGAAGAGGAAAGTCCGGCGACAAACGTAGTTTCCTATTGCTGACCGGATGTTGCATGTAAGTCCAGTTCTCGAACAGGAAACGATGTCCGGTGAATACAGATCGGAATTTCTGAAGTTTCTCTCAACGATGTTCTTGTGGTTTGGGCTTAAATATGTTGTAGTCTCTCGAATCGTTACTTTATTGGTTATTAATCCCCTTCTCGGTCCCAGATTGGTTTTTCTCTGTTACCAGGTGAAATTGGACCAGATCGGTTCCCGAGAAAGACGATTGTTTATTAATGCAATTCGACACCGTCTTTCGTTTGGCATCGAATTGTATTAATAAACACCGACCTTGCACCTTAACTAAAATTTCCTTTTTTTTTTTGTTTGCCTTGTCTTATAAAAATTTAATTTACTAATTTTTCTCCTTTTTTACCGCGTGGTTTTAATTTTTATTTTTCCATTTTCCTTTATAATTTAGTTCCCTTAATTTTAATTAGTCGCGAAGATCAAGATTCGTTTTTGTTTAGATATGTAGTTAAAAGAGTGTTTTTCATCCCAGCTCAGGGCCTCACATTTCTCTGCTCTATGGGTGCTAAACGGACTTGTTTAAATCATACCTATCGTGGGTTCTGCCACTTCTCTAATGAGGGGCAGCAGAATAATAAGAGAGAGAGCCCAACATGTCTGGTGCAAATCTCCAAGAAAAATTCCATTAAAATTTAAAATGCCTGTAATTTTGTGTGGGACACAGAGCCGAATTTAGGCATTTCAAGATCCTAAGCTGAACTGTGTGAGGACCCTTATCAACCCTTCACAATTTTTGAAAAAAATCAATAAATCAATCATAAAAAGAAAAAATTAACATAAACATATTAATTAAATGCTATACAAAATAAAAAGTAAAGTATATTTTGTTGGTTTGTAAAAAAATTTTTATCACAAAATTTTATTTCAAGTTTCTTTTTTGTACAAATCTTCAGGCCCTTTGGAACTCGAGGCCCTAAGCAGCAGCTTACATAGCGTACTTGTAA